CAGCACAGAGCGGAGCGGACGGTCAGCATCAGCATCTCGAAGAGCCGGGACTTTCTGCCATTCAAGGCATTCACGGCACGAGCGAGAGATCAACAGTTCTGGGACGCAGAGGGCCCCCCACCCCAGCCACCCTGACACTCGGTCTAGCTCCTCCACTCTCACAGGGGGAGTCCCCACAGAGAACTGGGTCTCCAGGCCCTGACGTCGTGTCTGTGGGTTTTTGCTGTCTTGAGCTGGAGCTCTCACTCCTCCCCATCGCTGCACGTCTGCCTGCCCATTCACTGTCGGAGGAGCTTCGTGTCTACCTCTACGCTGCCCCGGCAAGGTGCGCACTCAGACTCTCCCTGCTTCCCAAGGAGGAAACAGACCTCGAGATCACACGGGCAGCCCACATCCATGACGAAGAAGCAGAGGCAGGCGCTCTCATTTCACAGCAAGGCTCCGTCCGCCCGGTCACTGGCCCCCACCGATCACCGGAAGGGCAGGGACTGCTGGAGCGAGTCCCCGGGAGCGGCTGGACGCGGGAGGGGCTGGCCGCTCACCTGCAGGGTGATCCGGTTCTTTACCAGCAGGCCGATCTTGATGTCCATGAGGTTGAGGTCCTGCTGCAGCTGCTGATTGGACCGGATCTTCCGGACCACCTCCTCCTGGAGCTTCAGCAGCTCGGCCTCAGCCAGGAAGTCCTCCTGGCTTTGATTCAAGAGGTGGGCAAATCTGCATACCACGCGGAGAGGGGGATGGGGTGCGTGGACTGGCGGGAACGGGACAGGCGTCAGGACTGGTGGTGCCCTCCCAGAGGCTTTCTCGCCAGCCCCCTGCCTGTTACTAGCCCTTGGTCCCCATCCTGCTTGAGGCCAACAGGTCCCCAACGCCCAGCACTTTTCTAACTGGTTCTGCTTGTGCCAAGGGGGCAGTGGAATGCCTCAAGCCAGTCCTGTCCCCAAGCTCCCTAGGTGATAGCCAGGTATGATGGATGAGGTCCACCCCTTGCTTGTCCCCAACCAGGGCCCACACCAGAGACCTCCCAGCCCCAGGTCAGAGCCCCAGCTCCCTCTGACGAACCCCTACTCCAATTTGCTCCTCAGATGGGCTGAGTGCCCACAGTCAGAGAGGGACTGGCGGCACCCCATGGGCAGGACAGGCTCAGAGTGGTTAAGGACATGTAGCCGGTGCCATGCATTCTACTTGAAGCCCATGAGTGTCGCCTCAGGCCCAGAAGGGAAAAGGCCCACATCTTACAGAACCCAAGGGCTGGAGGCCAACTTGGAAAAGAGGAGGACCTCCAAGGCTGGGCTTCTGGTCTTTAAAAACAGGAGCCGAAAGCAGCCCAGGACCTGTGTGAGGCTTTAGATGCACACCCCACAAAGGGGACTGAAGGACAGGACAAGGGAGTGCCATTTGCTGCTGGCACTGAGGTCCCAGCACCGTATAAGGCTTCACGCATGCGGGCCCACAGAGGGACGGAGCTGGGGGAGCTCTGGGCCACACAAGAAGGCAAAGTGCAAGAAGGCGTGGACTCTAGGGGGAGAAGACCCTTCCCTGTTTGCTTTGGTGGCAGCAATGGGGAGATCACTGAAGCCCGGGACGGCAAGCACCTGCCAAGGGGAGCCTTCCCCGTGACCAGGCTCTTTCTGGGGTGGGCGGGGGCTTTGGCTACAGCCCTTATTCGACGACGTTCCTGTACAGACGTCTCGTACCTTCTCTTTTCCTGCTGTGCGGCCCCGGGAGGGATATCTAGACCTGCCCGACTCCAGGGAAATTCCTGTCTCTCCCTCCAGCCTGAGGGATCCCCAAAGGCAGAGCACATGTCCTCACTCCCACATGCACCCCGGGTCCAGAGGCTTGCTCAAGGTTGGGACATCAGCTGTTGATGAGGAAGGAGCTCAAGAAGGACAGACAACTTCTCCAAAGCCCAGTTGTAAGCCATGGAGTGGCATGACCTCTGCCCTGTTGACTATCGAAAGCCATGCACTCGCAGACAGAGGAGGGAGAATGGGCAGTTTACTCACAGCGAAGAGAGGGGCCCAGGCAGCATACCTAACATCCTGTAGTCATCCCGGGCCTTCTGGGCGCGGAAAAATGCCTGGATCTTCACAATGGACTTAACCTGCCGTGAACGCAGGTGGGGAAAGGCTTACTGGCTGTCCTCGCCTGGTTCTCCTGGGCGAAGGCTGGGCATGGGGACGGGGCAGCAGGATGCACTCACATTCTTCTGGAAGTATCCCAGACGCCTCCGGTATCGCCTCCGAGCTGCCCACATCCGGGCCCAGGCCTGGATCTGAGGACACACGCTGCCTCTGAGCTCATGCTCAGGCACCGGCCCTCGGACCCGGGCCAGCCATCTCCAGAGGCGGCAAGAGGACTAACGGTCGGCTCGGAGGCCCCTCGGGAGACAGGAGCCTCCCCCCTCCCCGCGGCAGCGGCAGCTACCTTGATCACAGCATCCGAGTTTGCTCTGAAATACCGCAGCCGCTCCCGGTACGCCTTCCGCCGCCTGTAACCCCGCCAGTGAGCCTGTGTGTCAGGACAGGAGAGGGGGCCATCTCCGCTGGCCCCCGCCGGCCAGAGAAGCCATCCCGGGGGGCGCGGGGCGGGGGAGGGGGAGGGGAAACCAGCCCCACTCTCAGAGTATGGCTACCCTCACGGGGAGACCGCGCCAGCCAAGCACACTCTGCAGCACCCTCCCTGGTCCCACACATATGCGTGCAAGCACACACACACACGCAATCCACCCCACGCACCGTCACGGAACCCAACTGGAAGACCCAAGCTGTAAAGACATTAACGAAGTCTACGCTGACTTCAGGGCACGCACCAGGTCCCCCCAGATGCACTCATGTGCAGTCTGGGGAGGCACACGGGGCTTGGACGGAAGGCATGGGCAGGCACAGAACCTCGCAGCCCACCTCTACTGAGGCCATGTGGGCCACAGGCCGCGGAGGCTCCCCTAGCTCACGCTGCTTGCCTCGCCAGCACCCCACCCCCGCCAGCCTGCCCCCGACAGCGCCCCGCCCTGGCTGGTCTGCCCCCAGGGGCTGGGATGACCGGCTCCTCTGTAAACCACACCCACTCTGGTCTCTAAAACACAAACCTGGAGGCTCCCCTCCCCCTTAGGGGCCTCTCCCCTTTCACAGCAAGCTCCTGTGAGATCAGTTTTCCTCAAGAACCACCTGGGCTACGTCTCTTAGCCCCAGAGCTTCCCGAAGTTCTCAACCACCTGACCCCACGCGACTCTCGGGTGGTCCCTTCCTTCTTAGTGACTCCAGCCTCTTCAGACGTTGCACTTCCTTCTAAATGTGCGTGGTGACGCTCTGGCCCCGGGCCCTTGTTTATGCCCCTGACCCCTGCAATCCCTCCTATCTTTTCGGGCCCACGTGAAACATCTCCTGGGCACTCAGGCCCTGCACGGTCCTCCACCTCGGACACTGCAGCAGACTGGCGTGTTCAGAGCGTCCCCGTTCATCCAACAGTCCTCCCAGCCCTTCCTAAAGCCGCTCTGCTGGCCGCATTCCACCCCATGGCTGACCCCGTCGCTCTGTTGGGACAGGATGTTAAGAGGCAGCGTGGCCTGGGATGGCAGCTGTCCACCTAGAGCCTGGAGGCCAGGGAGCCCCCCCGCCCCCACCCGAGCATTTCCTCAGCACTGCTTCCTCTCCTTGCCCAGGCGTGGCTGTCCCTCTCAGGGGACCCCTCTCAGCTCTTCCCCCTTAGAGAAGAGGCCTCCCAGTCTGGACCGGTCAGAAGTCAGGACCTGATGTGCAGCTCAGCCAGGCTCAGAGTTTCCGGGAGCCCCACTTCTGACTCCTACTTCCCTGAGGCTCCGGGCCTCTGCCAGGACCCAGGCCAGAGCCTGCACAGCCCCAGGGCTGGTGGCACACGTGCCCTCTGACCCCGCGCCCTCTCTCGCTGTGGCATTTCAGCTCTTTAGTTTGCGTGTGAAATTCCAGTCCAAGCTCAGGAGGGAGGCATCTCCATGATCAGACCACTAAATGCTAATTACCAAGGTTCTGTACTGAGTCCTGGGACCAGTGCCCTACAATTTAACACGTTCTAATGGCTGCCACCCACGGAGGGCTCACCGCACTCAGCGCCCCGTGTACTTTCCCGCTGAGCCCACACAATCCACACGTGAGGTGAGGACTGTCGCTGTGAATAAGAAATGGTGTTGGAGCAGGCTTAGGAGAGGTGCCCAAGGTCGTATGACCCAGAAGCGAGAGGACGAGGGGGCAAACTCCAGCCTCTGACTCCAAAGCCTGAGCCCCCAGTCACTACCTTGCGCCCGCTGGCTCGTCCCTGAGGGCTACACGCCCGCCCGCGCAGCGTCCTCCCACCCCCGGGCTCTTGGGGCTGCCCTCCTGTCCCCGCCATCACAGCATCTAACGTCCACTGTGCTCCAGGTCCTGCTGGGGGAGCTGTGGTCCCTCATGTGTCCCATCGGTCTCCTGCCCTTGCCCGGCCCAGGGGGCATCCTTGCAGACGTTCAGTCAATAAAGAACCTTTGCGCTGCACATACGTCTGCGCGGCCTTCAGGTCACATCTACCTGGGGTCTGTTTGCTCAACTCCCACCTTTCCTGGCTTGTAAAGTGGGCGGGCCCGAAGCCCATCTTCCCAGTTACTCGTGGGTTCCACCCGCGGCCACACTGGACCAACCACAGGGCCAGAGGGAGAGAAGAGGGAGCGCCTCGCCTCGGGCTGGTCCACCCTGTCCTGTTTACCCAGCTCGGGAGGTCCTCGTACCTGGAGCCCGTCGTCGGCGTACTAAATGTCACTCCCACCTCCCCACAGGGAGGCGACAAAGGGCTCTTGCTCTGGGGACAGCGAAGGTGACAGTAAGCGCCTGCCAGCCAGGCACCGTTCAGAGGCCCGCACGACAAACCTACACGGAGGTGCTACAATGTTCGCACGCCCATTCTGCAGGTGGGGAGACGGGCCGAGTGAGCGCCTGTCGAGGTTACACGGCTGCCTGTGCCGGAGCTGGGACCCAGAGCCAGGCAGTCCAGGCTCTAGACAGACTACTGCTGAGGCCAGGTCATCCCCCTCCACTCAGCAAAAAGCAAGCAGGAAGGAAGCCCTGAAGCTCAGATAAGCCCGGCCCTGACGACTTCGAAGGCCAGAGCCCGCCACCTGGATCTTGATGACCGCGGGCAGCCAGGTCCTCAGGAAGTGGGAGCGTTCTGCAAACGCCTGCCGGACCAGGAAGCCGCGCAGGCGGGCCTGGAGCTGGATGACAAGGCTGATGTTGGCCTTCCAGAGCTGTTGGCGGTCGTGGGCGGCGGTGACCCTGGTGACGGCCGACTGCAGGCGGGAGAGAGCCTGTGGCACCTGGTGGGTGGGGGCCCTGTCCCCCGCCCCCTCCCCCGCAGGGCCTCTGCCAACCTGGATCTCCTCCCGAGTCAGGTGGGACTTATTCAGGCGGCAGCCAGCGGGCCGCTCCCAGGTCCCCTGGAAGGTCTGCAGGTGCAGGTAGTAGGCTGAGCCGTCCTTCATGTCGTGTCGGACCCAGAGCGCGGTGTCTGCTGAGCAGAAGCCAAGTGAGGAGAGAAGGCTCGGAGGCGGCGGCGGGGGCCGGTGGAGACACAGAGGGTGAGGCCGGGCCATTACCTGGGTGCTGCTTCTTTGCCATGGCTTCTTCCAGGACCCGCTGGTAGCTGTCAGCACAGTGGGGAACCACCCCTCGGAGGGCCACGGTGGGGTTCCGTAACACCCGCTCCGTCTGGGCTGCCTTGCCCTCCCTGATGGCCTGATTGATGGCGGCCACACCGAGAGCCACTGACAGGGGCATCGGGAGGGAGTGGTTGGTCTTCACCCGTTCCCCAAGTCCCTCCCCTGGGCCCTGTCCTGTCTATGGGGGAGGGATTCAAAAAAGGGGGACACAACCCCCCCATCTGATGGGAAGGGACAGGGCACATCCGAGCATGGGTGCAGACCCAGATGAACACAGCACCATGCAGCTGTGCCTGGAGGAAAAGGCAGCAGTCGAGGAAGGCTTCCTGGAGGAGGCAGCATGGGGCTGGCTGGGGCTGGGTCAAAGGACAGCCTCAGGTCTCTTGTACAGAAGCTCAAAGGCAGAATGCGGGCAGAGAACCTCAAGGCAGTTTTTTCAGAGGAGAATAAAATCCAAGAAGTGCGACACCTGCCTTCGTGTCACTCAGACAGACAAACGGACAGAGGGACCCCAGACGCTACTAGGACCCATGGAACGCCGGTGTCTGCACTGGTCCTGCCCACTTGTCCTCACAGCCAGTCTTTCCTGCCCGCCACGACCGGAGCTGACAGCGGGACCCCGAACTCCAGGTACCAGCACAGGATGGGGTGGGCCTTTGGCCACCGCCTGATTTCCCGTGCTCACGCTTCGGGGCGAGCACCCGGAAGGCGTGGAGTGGGCTCTCAGCCCCTGAGACTTCCCTGCCCAGCTGCAGCTAGGAGACCTAGCGTCCAGGCCAAGCGGTGAGGCCCTGTTCTGATTCTGGCCCACCTCCCCACAGAGGTTGAAAGGGAGAGGGGCTGAGTGTGGAGCCCACACCCCTCCCCCCAGCCCTCCCCTGGACTCCTGCGGGGCCCCCAGGCCCATGTACTTCTCTGCGCAGCGTCTGTGTCCTGGTTGGCTCTAGCCACCTCCTGGCGGATCTCTTCTAGCCAGAGCATGGCTCCGGGGTCCCCGGTCGCCTAGGAAGTCGAGATGGGAATGATGAGAGCCCGGGCCAGCTGCCCCAGGCCCCAGGCTCGGCTGCACGAGAACCAAAGTACAGGCAGGCTGCGGGAGCCCCAGGGACAGCCATGCCTGCTCCTTCCACCTGCCACATGCAGGTGTGGCCTTGTCGCTTCCCGGGGCTCCTGCCGGCCCAGAAGGTTCTTTCCCGGCCTGCTTTCAGGCTGGCCAAGCATCAGCTCGGCTGCGGTGCAGCACTCCCAGAACCCATGGAAGCCCTCAATATCCTCCGCCTTCCGAGCAGCTCACTTCCCTGCCCCTGTGCCCCAGCCACAGCCAGGGAACGCCCACACTGGAGGCTCCCGCTTCCTGCCCCTGCTTCCCATTCCCCTGCGCCCCCATGCACACCTTCCCAGGCCGACCTTGACCCCGACCTCCACCCTGTCTGTCCACTCCTGCTCTAAACGTTTCTACCGCACCAGGCAGTGCCTGGGTTATATGCGACCACAGACTCACTCAGCCACATGGTCAGGCAGGGTTCCCCACTCCCGTGCCTCACCCAACCCCAACCCCAGACTCTGCTCCCTCCCGATGCTCCTCATTAGCAGAGGGAAATTTCTAAATAGACATTTGCTCGAACACTATGTTCCAGGCAGCATTCTAAAACACTTTCTTGGGGCACCAGCTCCAGTCATTAAGCGTCTGCCTTCGGCTCAGGTCATGATCCCAGGGTCCTGGGATCGAGTCCTGCATCGGGATCCTTCCTCAGCAGGGAGTCTGCTTCTCCCTCTGCCCCTGCTCAGGCTCTCTCCCTCTCTTTCAAATAAATAAATAAAATCTTAAAAAAAAATAAAAATAAAAGTAAAGCACTTTCTTCAGAACCCACATTTGCCAAGCACACAAACAACGCTCGGCAGAGAAGAGCCCAGTCCGTGTTAGCTAGAACTGCCGCCATCCTGCTCCCCGACAGCCCTGACCTGGAGAGAAGTTCGTTATCGGCAAACGCTTGCAGGGGAGTGAACGGTGTGAGACGTATGCAGGGCTGGCCGCCAGGACGCAAACCCAAGCAGCCAGGCCCGCAGGCCTAGCCCCCAACTGCTTGGCACCGCTTGGAGCCACACAGAACCCCGCCACGCTCTCCGACGCGGGTGATTCCCCCCTTCCGGAAGGTATGGAGGACCAGGAGGCGCAGTATTTTACGGATGAACAAGCAGAACTCAGAGACATTGGGGATTTGCTGGAGGTCATGTGGTCACTAAGTGTCAGCGCAGAAGTCCAGCCTGGCTGCCTGGCCACCAGGCCTGCGCTCTTGCCACCCACAAGGCCCCACCATTCTCTGCATGCTGACAACGGGAGCTCGGGGCAGGGCCCGGCCCAATGGCCACCTTCCCCCACGGCCCCTCCTGCCCTCCACCCCCAGAAGGGACAGTGTCATCAGACTGGGCTCTCCCAGGGCGCATCCTGGGCACAGCTCTACCCACAGGGGATGCTCTTCCTGCTTCGGGGACCAACCCAGCCCACTCAGACCTCACCTGGGCCTTCTGCTTCTTGGCCACCACGAGGAGGAGATGGTACCGAGGGGCGACAGGAAGGCTGACGTCGTCCAGGCCGGCCGAGGGAAGCAGGAGGGCAGACAGGGTCTTCTCAGGGCTGCCCTGGTCCAGAGCCTCGTTGATGAGGCTGACCGCGAGGACCTCTGGGAAAGAGAGATCTAGGTGGGCACTGGGCCCAGACTTACGGTAAGGGATGGGCTGCGCAGGCCCAGCTGCCTCCCCCTGCCCTGGACTCCACTCACGGTCGGTCTCCTCCTGCACCTGGGCGTTGACCTGGTGCACGGTGGCCTGCAGGTCGTTCCAGCTCAAGACGGCCCCATCCAGTGCACGTCGCAGCTCCACCAGAGCATCAAAGTAACTGGCAGCAGGGGGAGGAGTGGGTGAGCAGCAGGGGCATCGTCAGCTGGGAGTGAGGGCACTTCTGAACACTGCTCGGCCTCCCGCTCATCACGTGCTCCTGGTGCTCTTCGCACCCTGTGGGTCGTTCTTTCAAAGCCCCTGTGCTGGTCTCCTCCCTGACGTCTACACGCCCGAGCCTCCCACCGCTCAGGCTGTATACCCCTATCCCGACCTCCTGGCTCGAGACACCATATCCTAATGACTCCCCAGAGTACACCTGCAGCCCACTCATGAAGACCAGCTGCCCCCTCATGCCTCCCTGTGAATGCCTGAGGAGCGCCCCAAACCCGACCTGAGCTGAACCCCCGTTCAGCCTATGTCTCCCAGTCCTGCCCACTTTGGCCAACATTCACTCCAACCTCTGAGGACAAAGATCTTGGCGTCAAATCCAACCACACTCTCTCTCACAGCCCATATCCACATACAACCAGATCCCATCAGATCCCAAACCAGACTCCCGCTCGCCACCTCCACGGCCCCCGCCCTCGGCCAAGTGTCCCTCACACTGGCCTGGAGGCTGCCTGCTTGTCCGGCCAACCTGGGAGCCCGTCCTCGCTGAGCAGCCAGTGAGCCTGGCAAACGTAGCCCGGACCGCCCCTCCGCGCTGAAGCCCCCCCAGCCCCCCGGCTTCCTTCTCGCTCACAGGGAAAGCCAAGGCCACAGCGTGGTCTCTGCTGCTCCACCCTGCCACGCCCAGCACCCGTCCGGCTCTGAACCTGTGCCCCGCACGCCCCCCGGCAATCACAGAGGCCCTGAGGTCTCTCCCAAAGCCCCCTTACCAACAGGGCCTTCCCTAACCCCCAGCACATCCCCACCGTTCACCCCCTTGGCCCAGGCTGGTTTGGGCCATGGTGTCCTCCCTTCTAGTCCTGCCGTGTTGGCTTCTGTCTGTCCCCCTCCACTAGCAAGTCGGTTGGAGGAGAGCAGGAACTTGGTTTTGTTCACTCTGTTCCCCAGCCCCCGGGACAGTATCTGGCACCCAAGGATCCTCTAGGAAGCGCGGAACATGCAGGAAGGGGGGATGACTGAGCCCCGCTCCCAGGACGAGGCACGGGCCGGGCCAAGGAGCTGCGAACAGACCCAGAGAGGGGCCGGGCCCAGCGCAGCGCAGCGCTGAAGGCGGGTCTCCACGCAGAACCGAGTCTTGCCTCCACCGCCCTCCCTCTGGACACAGGGTTAAACCTTCCTCACCGCTGAGCATTCTCTCCTTCCACCTGGGCCAGGCCCGTGGTGGGGTTCACCAGACTGCTCCAGAAGCCGCCGACGTCCCCGGCCTCCAGGGCCTGGTCGATCAGGACCACGGCCGACAGCATCTCCACGGCGACAAAGAGCTCCTCGTGGCTGAGCCCCTGCAACAGGGGAGCGCCGATTCCCACGGGGCTGGCAACGGGCTTGGGGCCACCGCCATCCTGCCCTCAAGGCGGCCCTACATCCCGGTCTCTAACCCAAGTCCCAGCGGCCTCCTTCACTCACTGGCTAACCATACCTGATACCCGAGAGCGCTCCCCACGTGCTCAGTGGGTAAGCGCCTCACACACAGTATCATTCGTCTTCCTATCGGGCCGGGGAGGGAGGTGCCATTAAGATTCCCCTTTCCCAGGTGAGCCCATAGTCATGGAAGTTAAACCCACACTGGGTTCCAGGGCCCACACACGACCAGTGAGCCCCGTGGGCTCCTTGCTGGTTCCTAGCACGCACCAGGAAGTGTGCAAGGCCCCGGGGGACAGAGAGGAGGACAAAGAGGCCCCTCTGTGCTGCACCACACTCCGGAGGCCCTGGCCCCACTCGGTGGCCCAGGCTTCTCCTCCTTTCCAAACCCCAGCGTGAGCTGCTCCACATGTCCGGAGCACCGTCCGGTCCCCCACAGACAGGATCCTGGCAAGGAGAACCCCAGCAGCAGGGCTTACGCGCCAGGCTCACAGCTAATGCGTGTGGTGACTCTAATCCTCACAACGAGCCCATGTGCTAAATACATTACTGCTCCCGCTTCATGAACTGAGGGGCAGACCAGTCACTCACTTGCCTGAGGTCACAGGTCACAGGGCAAGGAGGCACAGGGCTGGAAGTTACCTCCCAGCACGCGTCCCAGATGGCAGCCGCCCATGTGGAGACCGCGCCCTTCCTCAGGGCCAGGACCAGGGTCATGCTCTAAAATTCCTGCCGTGGGTCTGATTCAGCACGGGGCTCCTCTCTTCCAGGAAGCCTTCCCAGACTTACTCCCAGCTCTGCTCCCTCCATTTCCTAGTCTGAAGTCCTCCAACCCTGACATCATCCCTTCTCCCTCCCTGTGACTATCTGGACCTCGGGTGTATTCCAGCTCCCAGGAGGGCCGCCCTGCTGGCTGGACATGGGGCGAGGGGGACACACAGAACGGTGAGCAGCGCGGGCTTCCGTGCTTCTGCGTTCGCTCCCAGCATGGCTGGCTACAGCTGTTGGGAGCCGTGTCCGCCTCTGCATATCACTCTCCTTGTCTCTGAAACGGAAATCTTACTTGCCCGATAATGTTCTCGCAGGGAACATTGAATGATGATTAAAGGAGTGTGTGTAGAGCAGTGTCTGCTGGCTAGGCTTTACCACTTAAAGGGTCTACCCTTGCAGGAGCTCTAGCACCGAGGACCCGCTAAGGACGGCAAGGACGGTGGCCCACGTCCCTCCCCAGGCCCGCCGAGGGTGCTCCGCACTGGGGGTGTGGCCTGGGCTCACCCCTCCCCGCTGCTGCTGGAGCACCGTCAGCTCATGCTGGTACGCAGCCGGGGCGTGGGGGTACACTGCAGGCAGCCGGGCCTCGGGGCACGCCAGCGCCTTCACGGTAGCAGCGGCCACCCCGCTCTGGATGGCTCTGTTGATCCTGCACACGGCCTGGAGCACTGCAGGGGAGGAGGGAGAGGGCTGCACAGGCTGGGCACCCAGGGCCCGTCCCACTCTCCTGGCTAAATTGGCAACTGCTCTTCAAAATTGTTCTGCCTTGGGGTGCATGGGTGGCCCAGTCACTTGAGCATCTGACTCTGGGTTTCAGCTCAGGTCATGATCTCAGGGTCCTGAGATGGAGCCCTGGGTCCGTGCTCTGCAGGGGGTCTGCTTGGGACTCTCTCCCTCTGCCCCTCCCCCACACCCCACATGCTCTCTCTCAAATAAACAAATCTTTTTTTCTTTAAGACTATAGTTTTTCTTTTTTTTAAAAGATTTTATTTATTTGACAGAGAGAGACACAGCAAGAGAGGGAACACAAGCAGGGAGAGTGGGAGAGGGAGAAGCAGGCCTCCCACGGAGCAGGGAGCCCGATGCGGGGCTCGATCCCAGGACCCTGGGATCATGACCTGAGCTGAAGGCAGACGCTCAACGACTGAGCCACCCAGGTGCCCCTCAAATAAATAAATCTTAAAAAAAAAAGAAAGAAAGAAAGCACAACTGTTCTGCCTTCTGCTAGGTTCAGAAGAAGTTTCTAAGTGTTTAGGAGGAAGAGGTGCTGGGTGGCTTTACAAGGTGCTGGAAGAAACAACCTGTCAGGCCCAGAGATGGAGCAGCATGGCAGGTCAGAGTGGCCGCCTGATGGAGGGGACAAGACTGGCAGGACTGTGGAGCGCAGCTGAGAAGGGTCAGTCAGGGGCTCCAGGGGCCAAATCTTGCCGACAGCACAAAGGGACAAGCAACCAGCCCCAAAGTGGAACCGTTGGGCCACAAAGAGCAGGAGTAAGCTTGAAGGGGCCATGGGGCATTAATGGGGTCTCGAACACCAGGGCTTGGAAAATGCCAGATCTGGGCCCTGGCGTCAAGAAGGTGGATCTACGGGGAGAAATGAGAATATGAAGACCAGTCACCCCATGTCAGCGCTGTCTTCCGTCCCCCAGAGCTCCGGCCGTTGGGGGAGCACAGAAGCAGTGGAGGCCGCGCTGGACGCTGTCGCCCGCCCTCCGTGGGTGACAGTGTGCAGAAACGAAACCCAGACAACCAGAGGCCCAGCGGTGGGGCAGGCCGGGCGGCCGGGGAAGAGCAGCCCGTCTGGGCAGAGAAGGGAAGGGAGAACCGCAGGTCTCATCTGCCTGGCTGAGTGGATGGGACTGAAGTCTCGGCTGAAGCATGGATGAAGGAGCCCAGGAAGGCCTGCAGACGCTCCACAAAGACGTGAACAGCAGGCCTGTGCACCAGCAATGGGAGAGCCGATGACCGCAAGCGGCCAGGCCAGCAGGAAGCGCCCGTGGCTGTGACAGGCCTGGCGGCCACGGGCTCCAGCCCCACACTCAGCCTCGTCTCGCTCCTGCCATGGGCGGGCTGACCCCCGGGAGGGACACGGTCACCAACACGCTCCTCCAATAAAGAATTATATCAGCACACAGTGTCTTTAAGGGGAACTGAGTGGGATCGTGCGTTTCTCTCTCATCTGGAAAATCACTACACTGTTGAAGCCAAAGGCCTCAAGCAGGTTGAAAGTGGCCACACACAGGGGAAGTGCCCTGCAGAAAGCCACCCGCCCCAGAGCCAGCCCCGCAGGATGGACCATCTCGACCCCACGGCCTTCATGAAGCTCACTGTCCTGTGCCTCCAGGCGGCCTGGGCCGGGCAGGGAGGGGGAGAGGCCCCCGCCGGCAGCGGTCCGCACAGCCCTATGCGGAAGCCCGCCCAGGGCCAGCGGCGGCAGTGACGGCCCGGCCAGGCCTCAGGGGAGACTTACTGGCTTGTTCCTGATCACCCTTCATGTTGGCTACAGCCACACCGGCCTGGACCTCCTCCTTTTCCAGAAGATCCAGCAGGCCCAGCTCCTGGGGAGGGAAAGGGGTGAAGCCGAGCGGAGCCCTGGGCCGTGAACCGGCTCCCAGCACCCCCTGACTACCCCGCCTCGAGCCTCTGCCTCCTTCTCACCAGGCAAGCACTGACACAACTACCCGGACAACAGAGACGCCGCATCAGGGAGGAGACGAGACTGCCGCGCTGAGGCCCCGCTCCGGCAACAGGGGAGTCTGTCACCGCCCGTCGGGCTGCCCCTGGCTCCCCCCGTCAGTGTATGCCATTAGGCTTTGGGGTGATGTAATCATTCGCACATGTAGTTGGCACTGCTGAACACCAGCGGGCGCCGGAGGTGATGCCCAGGCAGAGGCCTGCCCCCAGCCCTCAACCCCCCAAGCAGGGGGCAGTACCGGAGCCTGACCTGTGCTTTCTGTTCTCTGTCTGAGCTCAGCTGTTCCAAGTACCAGTCAGCAAAGTCCCTCCGGACCCCTCGCAGGGCCAGCACAGGGTCCAGAAGGGCCTCCAGCAGGGCGCCAGGGCTCTGTCTTTCTAGCGCATCATCAACAACTTCTAGAGCCCCATGGACTGCAAAAGACCAAGACTCCAGAGTGGACAACATGTGAAAGCCCAGCCCTATTCTTCCCACCGGCCC